CCGTATTGAACACAATATTGAACCAATCATAATTCACTTTGATGATAGCGGTAGCAACAGTGACGAATCTGAGGTTGAAGATTAGACGAAAATTTGTACATTTACATTTATATTATATTCTATTATCAAAAATGTGTAATTTGTATTTTCTAGTACCCCTGACGATGAGTTTAAGTTACTCGAAAGCTTGAGAATAGTTATATATATAGGAATATATATATATTGTGTTTTTTATTAATATTGTTAATTTATTTGGTACCTACTATAATTACCACGATTATTACTCCGTTTTCATAAGGCCCACCTAATGACTACAACGATTAGGTAAATTACGATATTGCAAAGTTTTAATGAAATAAATAAAAGATGTGTATGAATATTTTAACTAATTGTACTAAGAATTTTTCTTTCATTCTTAACCCTCTCAAAAATTAATAAGCACGCCCCCGATTTGCTGTCAACTGGGTTTACTTCTACTCTCAATCATTATTGGTTTTAGTATAACACCTTAAATGGTCACGTCTTGGAGTCTGTTGAAATAAAAGACATTGGGGTTGTTATTGATCCCACCTTTAGCTTCAATCAACATATAGCCACGGCTATCTATAAAGCCATGAAAATGCTAGGGTTTATCAACCGGCTAACCCATGAATTTTCTGACCCAACTGCTATTAAAGCCTTTCATTGTCCACTGGTTCGTCCCGACCTGGATTATTGCCCTTCTGGTCTCCTCATTGTGTAACTTATATCAAGAAAATTTAAAATGACCAACACAACTTCCTCCGATACATAGCATATAAATCGGGTATTCGTTGAGAGTTACTACTGCACTCTCTGAGCATGTCTTCCCTGGAAACTAGAAGGAAACGGAGATACCTGTCACTACTTTTCAATTTCATTAACGGCAAATGCAGTTGTGCTGAACTCCTGGAAAAAATTTGCCTACATGTTCAAAACCGCTCAACTCGACAGCAATAAACATTTTATGTACCATTTAATCTTTTAAACCATACATTAAATAGCTGCATTCCAAGAATCTTACGATTATCCAATAGAACCACTGATCTTGAGATGTTCAATATCTTGCATCATTTTGAAACTCAATAACGGAATACTGTACTTTGATGTTTTAATGTATAGTTTAAGATAGAATATGTATGTTTTATTGACGCTCATTGCCTTTTGTCGTTTTATTCTAAATTATTCCTTTTTAACTAACTTGGCTTGAAATCTCTTAACTTTTTTATTTTTATCTTTATTTGTAACATTGTAATTTATACTTCAAAAGGGCTTGCCCATAAATAAATAAATAGTATTGATCTTTACTAGTTTATTCTGTGGAACATTTTAAGTAAATGTTCAATTACCAACATTGGAGTTGTGAAATCAAAATACTTTTCTTAATTCAAATACAATAATTTAATAACAAAAAATCAATAAATACAATAATTTTTGCCTATAATAAAAATACCCATACTCTCACGAGGGCGACTGAAATAATTTAAATAACTGCAATAAATTATGTTTCTTTCTACTTTTACACAATAAATACATCCTGACCTAATTGACGATCATGCATTATTTTTTCATTTGACGAAATACAGGGTGTTGAGACTTAAAAAATATTGGAAATAAACCAGCTGAACTCTCAAAACAACTTATCCCAATCAATTTCATTCCTGAAAACTTCATCCTCTAACCAGAGATGATAGTTTTTTTGAAAATTTTCTGAGAACATGATTTCAAGACCTAGAGCGCTGGTCAAATTACTGTCGACGGGTTCAAACTCATTTTCATTCGCTTTCATATACCTTCGACTGTTGAATCTATCTACGGCACTCCTCAAGGAGATTTCCTCAGCTTGGAAATCCCATGGTTTAGCGTCCAAAAAGTTGCCGTACGCCCAATCATCATTCAAGTGATGCCGTACTTTCTGGTAAATAAGACTGACGGTTTTTAAGTTAGATTTTCTCCAGTTTCTGCCAAGGTATTTAGTTTGCATCTTGAGAAGCTTTAAAATATATAGTTGTGCCATGGCTTGACGCATTTTGAGGGTGCGTTTCAAAATTGGAGCTGATTTGAAAACAACCAGCATCATTATGCGGGAATTTTTCCACTTGCACAACTTATTCAAAACTCTAAGTAGGTTGATGCTAGAAAACACATTCCTCCAGCAATACTTCGAGTCACAACCGATTTCTATGTCGGCATTCAATTCCGACTGATCTCCGAGAATACAAGAAGGGAAATCTAATATTGGGATGCTGTTTGCCGCTTTGACATACATCATTATTTCTTGGTTGAAAAATTTGAGAATCAACGGAATGCAGTTCGCAAAAACCAGATGCTGGGACATGAACTCAAACTGGTAGATATGATTCAATTTGAAATGTTTCAGCAGGAGTAGAAGAATTCCTGATACGGCTTTCACTATTATTTCTTTGTGCCTGTTTACATCAATCCCTAATTTCATCGTCTGAAACGCAGTCAAAGGCATTTCTTTTGGTAATACATCACCTAATATGTTGATAGAGTCACTGGAAGTCTTGGCTCTAGAAGTTGTGGCCAGTAAAATCTTCAATAAGCATATCATGTACTGAGGTAAGTTTGGAAACATGGCTTGATATAGAGCTTCAGCTGGAGTCAGCTCTATTTCATCCTTTGCTGTGAAGGGATTTCTGCTGATGACTTCTTCTTTCTGCGTTTGTAACTCAGCCAGGGGTGTGTAGATATGCTCCCTCAAGGTATTTATACTATCATGAATGGGCTTGGGCAAACCAAACATTGTACTATCGTCCCCTTCCAAACTATACCCTATGAACTTCTCCCGTGCCAAATTCAGGAACAGATCTATTTCCTTCTTGTGAACTTTGGGCTTCCAAGGTAACTTTAAACTTTTCGATTTCTCGCTGAAAGCTGATATATCTTGAAGCCTCTCAAAGACAGACATGCTTTCCCTGGTCTTCATGTAGCTATCTTCATTTTCGAATATTTCCATGTCGATCGGCTCGTTATCTTCTAAACTGCTCTGCTTCACCAAACTTCTCTTACGCCTTTGATTTTGATCTTCCAAGAGATCCGGAGGAAAGCTCGGGGGTGACGATGGCCGCATAGATTTCATGATCTCCATGGTATCCTCTACCTGCGCAGGTAAGGAAGCCTTTTCACGATATTTGGCTTTCAATATCCTCAGCTCGTTAGTACCACCCAGTGCCAAAAGAATTAATTTCCAGAGGAGTAGCAATACTTTCTTTATTGGGAAATGAGGGGAGACGCCGCTGCAAAATTTCGTCAACATATCGAGTAACTTCAGTATTATTGATTCATCGTTTTTACCGTTCATTATTTCTGAACAAAACGAATTATAAATGTCAGGGTGAACTTCTCTCTCACTGCGAATAACCTCTGTAATTGAATATAACACCGTTAAAATTACTCTCAAGTTTTCAGAATCCGTTATGGAAACAGCTGTTTTGTTAATTGGAATGTTGTTGTCCATTTCTAGATTCAAAAGGTCTATGAAAGCACTGAAAGTCCCTAACTTATACAATAACAAACAGCTTTCTTTTGCGCTACTCAGAACTTCTATGTCACTTGTCAATCCTAACCAACCACCTTGGGCAATATACAAAATACACTTAGCACTCTGGATTCTAGTTTTCTTATCACTAAGTTCCAACTGATTCAGAATTTTCATTATGATGGAACTTTTCTCGGTGAGAGACAGCTGCCTCCATGATATGTGGGATATACGATAGTTATTCATTTGTTCCTCGAAGGATGATAAGTTCTGCTGAAGATCGGAGTTTTCTGTATAGCTGTACAACTCAGCTATTTCATTGGCATGGGTGTCACAATCGTCGTAAATGAAGTCGAGATCTTCGGCGGGCTCAAAGATGTTGATTTTTCTTGGGGCCATGGCAGAGTCTCTGGCGATACTACCAGATCCGTTTCCGTTGGAGTCCATGCTAGATATAATAAATAATAAAAGATTGATTAGCCTTCTGGAGACATACAGTGATTAATGTAGATTAGTCTTTCTCAAAATGGGCGATAATGCACTCTTGTGGGCGTTGGAGGTCTACAGGGGGACAGTAATGGGCACAGAGAAGATTGGGGGGCGTTGAAGCGATTTAGGGGGGGCGATGGCTAATTTTGAAATGTTTTTTTTGCTTTTAACACAAACTTTACCGCTCCTTTACGCTTAACGCGCGTTTCCTCGTGTAACGCCATCTAGGGGACCAGACAGTAACTATTTCCTGTCCGATAGTTGTCTAAATGTACAATAGATGGCGGTAAGCTTCAATGCGAAACGAGAAGTTTCTAGTCTCCATTCTCGAAAGTACTAGGCTCGCCCGCTGCCTCGTATAAAAGCGCGCGCGCCATCCAGCCAGTAATGTCATTCGACGATATTACAAAAACAAGTGAATTTAGTTAGCGACTAGCTAGTTAAAGTGCTGTATGTGCGGTGATAAAAACTGTGAGTGGTGTCTTTAGCAAGTTTTTAATACTCGATTCTTTACTTCGGCATTTTTGAAGACAAAATTATGTCGAAAGCAAAAAGAAGAAACGACAGTATAGCGCGGAATATTTATATAAAATATGGATTAATTGAAAATCCCACAGATCCATCTTCTTCCAGGACGTCACAAAAGCCTCATAGCGTAGTTAAAAAATAAAATTCCAGATGTGTTCGCTGTACATTGCGTCATTCATAGGCAACATTTGGTTGCGAAAAATTTGAGTGAGCGCCTCTCTCAATCACTGCAATATACCATCAAAGCAGTCAATAAAATCCAAAACAGTTCTTTAAATGACAGATTATTTAATCAGCTTTGTATTGCTAATGATGAAAATTTCAACCGATTGCTATTTCACACAGAAGTGCGTTGGTTATCAAGAGGTAACTGTCTGACTCTATTTTACAATCTATTTGGCTCTGTGATAGAATTCTTGGGAAACAAAGACAAAGAATTGCACGACAACCTCATCACTTCAAAGAATGATATTGCGTACTTCATAGACCTGTATAAATTATTTAATGATATCAATCACCAACTTCAAGGTGATGACAGCTGAAAGAAGAACTCATAGAACTGATAACGAACGAGGAAATAAAAATAAAATTAAAAATGGCTACGAAAGCCAATCCCGCAATTGTACACTGGATTGTGGTCTTGTTCAACGATTTTTGATAGCATTCCCATTATCGTATTTGTGTGAACGTGGATTTAGTGCTGTGGTAACGTTGCTAACTAAAAAGAGAAATCAGTTGCAGATTACCGAAAGCGGTGACTTACGGCTGTTTTCAAGTGAATTCGAGCCTGATATTAACAAACTTGTAAAAAATCATCAAATTCATCCTTCACTTCAGATTATTTTTAAAATTCAAATTAAAATGTTTGTTTTAGTAACACGAATAAAAGTTTTCCTAATATTACAAAATAGGGTTTTACATTAACCTCATCAGAAAATCTTATTTTCACATGACTGCGATAGTGATTCTTGAGATGTAGTACAGTAAAAAAATTTTGGGAGCGCTAGAAAATAATTAATTCTCAAAGTGGGCGGTAGCCAAAATAAGTTTGAGAACCTCTGATGTAGACCATACAGAACATATTATGGCTATATGAATTACACAAATTAGTAGACTACACACAAACAACAACAGTCAAATACAAATAAAATACAATGACAATAATATGAAAACACTTGTTATATACTGATCAATGGATATTGTGATGCACTGTTTGGAACCTTTGGTGTAGTAGTGAATATTACTGGAGTTTTTTCCCAACACCAAACCGTTATTTAAAAACCTCAACACGTGTTTCGACCACCAAGTGATCATCTTCAAGAGAAAGATCAAATTGGATTGATCTTAATAACTGGCTCTGAGTAACCATAACAGCCTACTCACTGGACAATGTCCAGTTGAGGGATACCTGAACAAAAATGGTATTGCATATTCAAATAACACTTTATTGTGAAATTTTTCTTGGAAGGTTACAAAACTGCAACATGTGAATAGATTCTTTATTTGAATTGAAAGGGGTAAATTTTTAGGAGAGATTAATTTTTGAGAAAGGTTGAAGCTTTCTATTTTTAATGAAGAAAAGAGAAATTGAACTTTCTATGTTTTTTACCACTTTTATTTGTAAGTAACGTTACTGCAGTTTCGTCCTCTACGGACATTTTCAAACTTATACAAAAAACTCTGTTTTTCCATCTCTATACATAAAATGTGGGAAGCTGTCAAAGAAAGGAAGCAATAAATTTTAAAATACTCTTTAAAAAATTGTGTAGTTCATGCAAAAAGCAACTTTCAGGCACAAACTGGATAAAAAGCCCTCCTGAAACAGCTACTTTCATATAAACAGTGGATTACAAGAAAGTAAACAAACTTTTGAAACAAATAGGTACATACTTCATATGAACATTTAAGAATGAAGTGGTACAATACTTTATTTAGATTTTCATCAAGTACGATAAAGGTAAAAAGACAACATTTCTTCTCAGACATTGGATCACAGAAGGCATAATGAGGGCTCAGCGTTTTATTTTAGCACTCACATTCATATCACAGGATTGAAATATTTGTACTCATACTAACCTGGTTTTAGATTTGTTTATTTGTCCAAAGTCACTTCCAATTTTCTTAGTTCTGGATTTACAGCTGTAGTCTTCTATATCTCTTGTGAATTCATGTGATAGCACTGAACCTGGAGTTTGTTGGTGGTTCTGCTGTAATTGGCAATTGAAACCGTTTCCAAAATGTGACTCGAATGCACTCGATGTTGGCACACTATAAGGTCCTCCTTGAAGCAGAGTCACACTCTGATAAATATATGGCTCATTGCTTTGAAGCTGGCAGTATGGTGAACTCTGATATTGATTATCAGGGTACTGATATATTTCAGAAATCTGTTCTGTAGGAATTTGTGAATTATAATTTAGGAGACTTGACGAGAGATGAAAGTTATTATAGTCCCAGAAATCACCCATAATTTAGGTGAAAGGCCTATATAAGATCATGTTTGTTAACCTTTTGCTTCCTTGGTTGAAAAACGAATATTTCATTAAATTCGTAAAATACTAACATAAACTACTCAACGAAGCTCTATTCTTTATACCCACTTGCTTCACTTAGTCACTTATGATTATGTATCAATGTACCATATAATGATTATTCGATATTGATATTTTGGTTTTTATTTTTGGTTTTCAAAATGTACTTACAGTGACAGGTTGACAGTTGTTAAAAATAGGTTTTTAAAATGAAGGCGTGTTCCGTTTCTATAGAATTTGCTGTTCCGTCATTCTAGTTGATAAAGGAACACGATTCATTAAAAAATAGGCAAAATGGTCTAGCATGTTACCACGGTGCACAAATCAATAGCATCGAAGTGACTGCAAAAAATAGGGCAGTTCGAAAAATTGTTTCCTTTAATAGCAATGGACCGAGGGAATCTTGTTGACAGATTGGGTGTTCCCTTCAAAGTTGTCCCTCTTAGATATTATACACTTGTGCTAGCGTTTTTCAAACCCTTGAAGCAATTCTGATATTCACTTTTTGGTATCACTTTGTGCTCCCTCACCAATTCGATTTTTATCTCCTCAACCGTCGCAAAACTCCGTCCTTTCATGGTTACCTTCAATTTTGATAATAGGAAAAAGTCGCAGAAGGGCAAATCTGGTGACTAAGGCATGATTACGGTGTTGTTTTTGGCCAACATTTTTTGAACAAGCAATTACAAGTGATGAGGTGTATTATCGAGATGCAAGTCTATGAATTGTTTTCGCTCAATACCGGACGTTTTCTTCTTATTACTTCTCACAAGCAGCGCATAACTTCAAGATAATACTTCTTAATGACCTTACTTAGAAAACTGATCAAAACTTTGAAATTCGATCAAACTTGGCGTGATTTTTTTGTTTATGGCTCTCCTGGGCCAAGGATCAAGCCACCCCCACAGACAAAACAACACAACGATGGACAGCATTTACGTACGTAGGACACTAACTAACGTCTTCAAACCACTGAACATCAACATCACAAAATAAACAACTATGAAAAAGAAGAAGACAAAGACCAAAACGGGATATACAGTATACAATGCTCGGACTGCAACAAATTCTATATCGGCCAAACCAAGAAAAAACTGATCCAAAGGTACAATGAGCACCAAAAGGCATACATAAATCCAATAGTATATAAATCAAACCTCGCAACACACGCCATACAAAACAAACATAATTTCCCCCCACCAGAGAACAAAAAACTCATAAAACAAGTCAACAAAGGAAACCGCATGGACATTTGGGAAAATTTGAACATCCATAAATTCAACAGTCATAAATCACTTATCGAGGAACAAGTACAAATCAATACACAAGACCTCACATTCAATATATCAAACAAAACCATACACATTCCTAGAGAAGATCTAACACAAAGAATAGTACCTGATGCAGTACACATACACAGGCAAATTTACCTAAAGTACCTGAAATACCTGAGTTGAGACGTTCGGACTGTATAAAAAGGCAGACGACAGGATGGCATGTTCAGTTTGAGGAGTGCCTAGAAGATGACAGTACAACCAGCTGTCAAGAGCGCTCGCAGATAATTAAAAGAAGATATAAAGCTTCAAATCCTTTTTGAAATATTTGCAGTTTCTACCAATTTTAAAAATAAAAAAACTAATTCGAAATATTTATTCATTGAATAAAATATTCCTGAATATTGTCATGTTACAAATATTAGAAATGTATTTAAATTAGAATGTTCCTACTCTCAAAAAAATTTATACTGAAAAATATACTAAAATAACAACTTTGTGAAATCATCGGCGCTAATTGAAAAATAATAAATATATCATTTCATTGAAGGAAAAAAAATGTATTGCATCAAGAAATGAGCGAGATATAGGTTTCTCACTTCAAAAAATAAACTCACAAATGAAGTATTTTAAATGAGTGGTATGGATGAGTTCTTTAATGAATTTCACTTACTTAAAGTTATCCAAACTTTGCTCACCAGAAGAGGTTTCCTGATATTTGTCCAACATTAACGTTCCTGCCATATCAACCGCCATGTTAAATCAAATGTCGATTTCAACGCAAAGCTGCCAAGCGTTGTCTGTCGCGCGCTACACTTCAATTGACCAATGAGAAACGTCCAATAGTTCACTTCCCCATTTCTCTGTTACCAGGATTTGCTGCTTTGTAATTGAATAAGTTCAAATACAAAAAGACAAATAGGATGAGAATAAACCGATTTATTGATGCAATTGGTTCATTTTTTGGTCCATTCGAATTTCTTTGTCGTTTCCAGCAGTTGCATTTGGAGCAATTCGTCAGAATCTTCGCGTTAAGTTCAAAAAGTTAGGTTATGCATTCGATTAAAATCTTCAAATATTTTTGTTTTTAATAATATTGAATTATTTGAATAAGTTATCATAAGATAATTCAAAATTCCAATGATGCATATCTGTCTGTCTGTTTAAAATAATAAATACATATAAATAATACATATAATACAATATTCCAAAATATACCGTGGGGATATATTCTAAGAATATACCATAGGTATGGTATATTCGATCGACAATATTCTTAGAATATTCACGGGAGAATTATCCATTTCTAGATATTTTATGCACATTCTTTCGGGAAAAATCCTGCCATATTCATTCAAGCATATTCTATGAATATTCTAAAGGCATGTATATATTCCAAGAATATTCTGTGAATATTTGGAATATATACGTTCGTTTTATGACTTAGAGGGAATATTCCATGAATATCTGTTTCACTCCCAAACTAAAACCTTACTTTCAACACTCATATCATAAATAGCTATTCTATGAAGTGAAGTGTAACAACTATCAATGAGAACTCTGTGAGCAAATCAAATAAATGTCGTTTCAAAGCTAGCTTGATTTGAAGAATGCATTCAAATAAGAACTACTATTTGAAAAAGCCAACATCTGAAACACTATTTAGGTTAGGTATAGGGAACCCAGAAATAAAATGAAAAATAACTGAATTTTTTATTGTTCAGACTAAATAAATACAGGGTGTTCTATTTGCAATTACAAAGTTATCTTTATCCAAAATTATAAAAAAGTGAAAATGGTTTTTGAACATGCTGTATAATATTGAGAAACGAGTTTTATCAAAATCAATAGCCCAAAACCTCTTTTATGCTTGGCCAGAATTCTGAGGGATGATTTCATAAATTTCGATGTTCATCAGTTCCAATTGTACCTAGCATTTTCATAAAAAAAATCAATAACTCGAGAATGGTTATAGTTAGGTCAGTGACGGCTCGTGCATAGGAGAACAGGGAAGGCTTAAGTCATATATACACACAGAAAAGCCCGCCGGAGGCGCGAACATTTTTATGTTGTTGCACACTTTGCTTAATACTAAATTTAGGGCATGGGCATGACAATGCGTAAAAAGTGCATGAGGAGATATGGACTTTATTTTAGTTTTAAACCATTTAAATAGCAGGCCATGACCGCAGCCCCATCATAGGTTTGCGCAATTAACTTTTGCCTGAAATTATAGGTGTCACACGTACGAAATAAAAAATTAAACAAATCGTCAGCTGTGCGCCCAGATGAAACATCATGAAAACCCATAAAACGTTCTACCACATTACCATCTTTGACATATCTAAAAACGATAGAAAGTTGTGATGTACAGGTAATATCGGTAGTTTCATCAATTTCCCATGCAAAAAGAGAAAAACTTTCAATCTCCTTGCTTATATTTTCCTTAATAATATATGCCACACTGTCTATAATAAGCTCATTTTGGATGGTTTTTGAGGTGCCCGAAAAAACGCTACCGTTTAAAAAAGTGCCAAATTGTGAATCATATTTGCCCCATAACACGAGGTAAATTTTTTAAATCGGAGTATCTTTTTTTAGACCACGTTTGGTATTCGGTTTGTACGGAAAATAAAACACAGGGCCAACAAAAAAGTTTTTCTCGTTTAATGGAGCCGGTTAACCAATCGCATTTATCGTACCAACTAATATTAAATCCTCGATTTTGTCGATTATCTGACGCTTTAATTGAAATCAAATTTGGTTGAGGCCTTCCCAGAGTTTTAAGAATGTAAAGTTTATTATCATAAGATAAAGACTTGAAATTATTTGTCAGCAACCAATCGATAATATCGTCAGATATTTAATTTCGTCCAACTTATCCATAATAAATGAAAAAAAAAACTTAACAAAAAGTGAAAACCTGAAAACACTTCGAAATTGAAAAAAAAAACACTTCAAAAACACATTAAAAATATAACCAAAAAGCAATGCTATAATATAACACTGCCTGTTTTATACACAAATATTATCAAGAAACACTAAAACGATTTACCGGAATATTTTTTAGTCCCGGTCCGTCACGGTGTCCCGTCCGAATAATTAAATAAAAAACAAACGCAGTCATACACTAACGGAGACCAACTGGAGGCTAGCCTCTTCTGACGCTATAATTTCTGCAACTGTAATTACAAATCGGGACGTATGTCGCTGGTTGGATCGGACTCGTGCAACGTATGGCATTTATTATTTCGGGTTGATAGTTTATTCGTTCATGGATGGTGCGTTTGAGTTTTGTTGATGCAGTATACAGTGTGGTACGTACTACGTAGTGAGTGATAGTGTTTTTTCGGGCACATTATGTATTTATATTAAAAATTAATGGTAAAGTAATGATACCCAAGCACTTTTAGGAAAAAATAATCATAATTATTTGTCAATATCTTTTAATTTATTGCGATGAATAGCCTCAAATTTTATGGGGAGGCTAAGCCTCCCTTGCCTCCTCTCACGAGCCGCCGCTGAGTTAGGTACATAGTACCTTGTATGAAATCATATAATTTTTGGTTAAATTTTACTTTATGGGATATTCACGGATTTTCGCGATTTTTTCTGTGATGATACTACGTGATGGTAGGAATTCAGAACACTTTTTATTTTTTGTCGGACTCAATTAGTTTCCGAGATATAGCCTGCCAAAGTTTGTATGATGTCATATTTTACCTTTTCTTTAAGCAATAAACGATTGCAATTCACATATTTTTTATTCAACACATATTTTTCCATATCATCGCACTTTTTTCTATCCCTTTTCATTCACTTATTGCCAAGTTTTTTGAAACTAGATTGAAATTCAATAAGTCAACCTAACCTAACCCGGCCTAATATAACTCAGTCTAACCTTACTTTATAATTTAAAAAAAACTATGTATCCTCAACATCTAATCTGACCTCCAAATTCCAAAAGGAACGTATTTTCGAATATTTACTTTAGTAAAAACTATCATTCCTCAACATGTAACCTGACCTCCGAATTCTAAAAGGAACGTATTTTCGAATTGTGAAACTTAATGCAATTCATAAAAAGTGATTTGTGTGCACCTGACAAATTATGGAATTTCATTCTGATTTCAGGAAACTCGACACTGAGTGATTGAAAGGGATAGAAAAAGGTGCGATGCTATGGAAAAAGTTGTGTTTAATAAAAAAATATGTGAATTGCAATCGTCTATTGCTTTTAAAAGAAGGTAAAATATGACGTCATACAAACTTTGACAGGTTATATCTCGAAAACTAATTGAGTCCGACAAAAAATAAAAACTGTTCTGAATTCATACCATCATGTATCATCCCTGAAAAAATCGCGAAAATCCGTGAGTATCCCATAAAGTATAATTTAGCCTTATTTTTTCATGACCTACGAAAATGCAAGGTGTTCCTTTTGAAAAAAGACAACTTTGATATGTCACACTTTTCTGAGCCACCCTGTAGACTCCAAAATAATTTTCTTCTGCGGCCTTAATCAATTTACATATAATGAAATGGAGAAATTCCCCATTAAAATAATGGTTTGATTTTTGATTTACCGGGACCGTGTCGTTATGGTGTGCCCCACCCTGTATACTGTGATTATGAAAAAAATAGCAATTAATCTGAAAATCGGGTTGATTTAATAAGAATTTTTCTCCGAATTCCGGGACATCTCAGAAGATAACCTCATATCTCATCATACTCCGGAGAGTTCTTCGCACTACAGGTGGAATGACACGGATTGCGGGGGGTTCTTAATGTTTGCCGAGTATAAAAGCTGAAACCTGCGTTACGGACAGACTGTAAGAGTTCTCCTTCACAGTGTTGTGCTTTCAGTTGATGAAAGTGCCATGGCGTGCTATACAGCAACGCTAATTCTGGTTACCTTATTTGTTTCGAACGGTAAGTCGAATTTATTATTTTACCGCAACAAATTCATGCACAATAAGTGCCTAAGTCACAAAAACCGAAGACAAAAGAATGTTTTGGAACTTTCATTCGATACACAAGACACAGTAATGTTAATTCGAAAGCTTTCAGACGAATATTACGTAAGAATAATGATAATTTCACATTTATGAAGAAAGGAAACCTAATCATTATTATTGTTTCAAAGAATAGTTGCTGGTGACATCACCAAATTGAGTTGTACTAAAAGCAAAAGCAGCTGTCAAAGTACGTTCACTATTGAGGTGAATATTTTCCAAGAAAGACGGAATTTCTTATTAAATCTGGCGAATGATGAAGAATTTCATGTCATGAACAACAAGACATGAGTTCTCTCAAGGCTGTATTCGTTGCAACGGTGTTTGGAACTATTATAAGTAATGAACGTGAAAGTTTCTTGTGGTTGGAGCAGCATTGAGAAAGATTAGGAGTGTACTCAACAACGATTTCCCATATACACGAGGCTGTGCTGAATCCGAAAGTGAAATCCCAATTCATGTAAACAGTGGAATGGGATGTTCAGATTGAAGGTTAATGAAGATCCAACCGGATCTAAAAGTGTTAGATAATACTTTCGATTTTTTTCGTATACCTAGATAATACAAATGAGGAATATGGAGTTAGTTTTCAGTATTTATTGTATTTCAGAATACAGATGTATGAAACCACACATCTTAAATCGTTTTTCGAAATCCAGTTTCAACCAAGTACTCTCCAAAAAATGATTTTGAATATCAAAAATTTTTCAGTTGTTCCACCCTAAATAATAGCCCCGATATCATCCACCATATCTGATTTTTAAAAAAGGGTAATATAATATTTTAAATTCGATGCTCGGAGTTGTTTTATTGTTGAAACATTTTTGTTATTCACAGATTCAAAATACACATCTGTGATTTTTGTCAAATAATCAGTTCGATATTGAATAGCCAATCAATGTATATCCACTTTTTGAAATCACTAATACCTACACCTACTCGTCAATACACATACATTCCTCATTCACAAAAAGCCAAATTATATTTATAAAAGTAATAACTTTTAAATCTCAGAATAATTCGAGAATAATTCCAAAACACTCGACAGCCTGCTTTTCTCGGAGTTTTATTTACAACTCTATCAAATAATATGCCTTGCTCATATTGTTTTCCCTTTGTCCCACTTTTCTGTATGTTTTGCTTTATCATTTACCTTTTTTTTCTTTGTTTTACAAAGATTCATGAACTTCCCGCTTATTAGTGTATACTACGTAATTATTTTTATATTTCTATATAATACATGCTATCCAGTAGGTCAAATGTAAAACAGCGAGGCGTAACTTCGCCCTTTCATTGATTTTTGTATCTACTTTTTCTTTATAAACAATGTATGTCAACGAATAAAGCCCATTTACTATTATTATTATTATTTATCTTGGTAGCATTGAATTCAGTTTTTTATCGGCATACTTGTGAAAGACAATTTTGTACAACTCATACAAAGTTTTGATTTTTATAGGAGGGTAATTATTTTTGTGTGAGGATGAGTTTAAATAATTGAAATGTAGTTATTAAAAGTCCAACCAGCGTTGTGAAAGTGGGTAATTGCAAATAAATAGTTTTATTTATTGATCTGAATACCAGATTTTTTTAATATTAGTAGCGAACAATGAAATAAAAAACCTAGAACCTAGTCGTTCAATACTTTTTGATTTGTTTTCTTATTATTTATGTTTCAATATTATCGATTTAGTTTCTGGTGTTTCTAGTCATTTACTATATTTTTAATTTCCACCATATTTAAAATTTATTCTTGAAATTTCATGAATTTTTGGAATTTAAATATTTTTCACTTTGAAGAAAAGAGAAATGAAACTACTACCACGTAGTAACGGCTAAATCCATCAATTTATTTTTCACTTTCATTACTACTAGGTACTATTTTCATATATTTTTCAAAAACCAGATTTGTTCATTATTTTCAAGGAAACCCTGTATAACGTCGATATATTAAAAAAAAAACAGAATAAATATTTTATTGAAGTCATCAAATTGTTACTAAAAAATACACATCATTTTGTATATTTTTTTTAAACATTATACAAAATTTACATCGATTTAGTTTCTGGTGTTTCTAGTCATTTACTATACTTTTAATTTCCACCATATTTAAAATTTATTCTTGAAATTTCATGAATTTTTGGAATTTAAATATTTTTCACTTTGAAGAAAAGAGAAATGAAACTACTACCACGTAGTAACGGCTACATCCATCAATTTATTTTTCACTTTCATTACTACTAGGCACTATTTTCATCTATTTTTCAAAAACCAGATTTGTTCATTATTTTCAAGGAAACCCTGTACAACGTCGATATAATAAAAAAAACAGAATAAACATTTTATTGAAGTCATCAAATTGTTACTAAGAAATACACATCATTTTGTATATTTTTTTTACACATTATACAAAATTTACATCGATTTAGTTTCTGGTGTTTCTAGTCATTTACTATACTTTTAATTTCCACCATATTTAAAATTTATTCTTGAAATTTCATGAATTTTTGGAATTTAAATATTTTTCATTTTCATCACTACTGTTTTTCTCTATTTTCAAAATTGTTCATTATTTTCAAGGAAACCCTCTATAACGTCAATGTAATAAAAAAACGAGAATAAATGTTTTATTAAAGTTATCAAATAATTACTCAGAAATACACGTCATTTTGTACATTTTTCAAAACATTTACAAAATTTACACAATCTCTTATTTCTAATGGCAACTTATTATAATTTTGCACACCCTTATAGAATAATTGATTTTGTTCAAAATGCGATTTATAAAAGGATCTCCAAAAAAAAACTCCGGATGAATGTAATCAGGTTCAATTCAATGTCACAAAAACCCAGGCATCGGTTTTTTCCAAGAAGATAAATGTCTCCGAAACTGATATAATAATGTCAGGTCAGACAATTCGTTGGAGGTTAAAATTGACAACAATATGTTTTGGCACAATCATGTCGTTGGAATTGCAAAGCCTGCTTCTTAAAAGCTTAACTTTTTTTAAAACAATCACCCCTAAAATAGATTCCCTTTTCAATAATCTTTTACTCATTTTCGACTTCCTAAAATGAATATCTAAATATGTTTTCTGAAAGATTGATCAAAACCACATTTTTATATTCACAAGGGTAAAAATACTACACAAGAATCATAACTGATTCAATATTGACTCTCTTGTGTAACTGTAAATAAAAATAATGAGTTTATTCAGCTATAAAGCTACTTAATACAAATATCAACAAGCACAATACAAACAAATCATTATAATTGGTTAATAACATGCTTTATAGAATTATATTATTTTCAAGTAAAATCTGTATAAGGTCGATATGATGAAAGAAAAAAACTAGAAAGGATATTTGAAAAATTTATCAAATTATCACTTAGAAATCGATGTTATTTTGTACAAAAATTTAACACATTTTAGAAAACTTTTGTATTCTTGATAAAAGTCCACTTTTTCTAGCAATTTTTCCTGAAATATATGTTACATGTTCATTGTTCAGTGAGCTTCATGAAAATACAACTAAATATTGAAATTTGAAATTCCCTGTTACATAAATCAATGTGTCATCTGCAAATAGTTGAATTTTACAATTTTTTATGATTTTAGAAATATCATTCATGTATAGAATGAATGATAGGGGTCTCAAAACAAACCCTTGTGAAACACCATGTCTCGTTGAGATATTATTTGAGATTCTATCTTTGATTTGTATCAGTGATTTCCATTCCGTACAATTTTTTGAGAAGAATTTCTTTATTAAAAGTTTCCAAGCTCTTTTGAGATCTAAAAATAAAATACCAACAATTTTACCTTCATCAATCAATGAAAGCAAATCACTATTGAACATAAAAGACTTACTGTCCAAATGTCCGTCACCGTAAACATAAGTTTTTTATTGTTACTGTTAAAAGAGTTTTTATCCCCTATTGTCTTACGAAAACTAGCAGATACTCATAGTGTTTTCAATAATTATTTAAATATATGAGTGAAATCAACTATATACAATTAACAGGAACTAATCAAGGGGTTGTTACCTACCTAATGATTGATTGAATTTCTCAACAGACTATTGATCATCAGGGAGACAATGGGTAATCTCAACCAAGCGTCACTCGGCAAATCAAAATGATTATTTAATAGATATCCAAATGAAATTCCTTGACTAGACAAGCTATTAGAATAACTTTGGCTTCTAAAAATCTTTAGAGAAAACAGCAAGGTAATCAACTTTCACAATATCACATGTCCGATCACTTACGTGTTTAAATTTCTACCATTCGGTTTTAAGACTCGTTTAAAATTCATTTTGTGTTCAATTGGAATCAACGCCTCCTGCTCGACTCGACTCGACTATAAAAATTGAAATCACGTGGAATGTCACTACAGGGATAATATTATACAGGGTGTCAATTTGAAAACTTCGCACCCTTAATATCTTCTTTCCAGTTGACAATGAGAAGAATCGAAAAGACAGGTCAATTTTATTGTCAAGGGGGACCACTTTCAAGTACTATAATAATAATAATAATAACTTTATTCGTCTTTTCGATCATTTACATGATATAAGACATGTCATAAATAAAAAAATATGAAAATTATATGAAACAATAGTAGACGTTAGCCTTAAAATGTTCAATGGGAAGGGGGGTCAAGTGACACATCATTTTGATTGGCGTTCAATTCCACTTTCAATGATACTGTAGTATACGTGCATAGCACTTTCCGGTTGCAAGTGGTGTCGCTAAAATATGCACTGTGAAATGACAGTTGACACTGACGGAAGAACAGTTGGCATTGACTAGATATGTGCATGCAATTAAGAACTATAAAATATAATATTAATGCTGAATATTATTATAAATAAGTATGTAAATGAAGCTTGTGAATAGCATTCATAGTGTGATGAATGATAACACATGGCGCAGTCGGTAGGATTATTTCGATTAAATCCATCTGGGCTTCTGTTTTATTTATAAATGAGTATGTAAATAAAACTTGTGAATAGCATTCATAGTCTGGTAAATGATAACACAGATACCCTGACGTTTTATTTTTTGATGAGCAGTTTCCGAAAAATAGCGTTCTAAACTTACACATTCAATTAGGATATGCCTGTTCTGAGATGACTGGTTTCAATGAAAATTGTTGGAAGATTAGGTGGCACCGTTTCAACCCCTGAATGACAGGACTAAATTTATTACACGTGGGATTTTTCATTTGTTGGTTATTGTTCTTTTACAAAATTAAATTTAATTTGCGAAAAAATTCAAAAATAAATTCTACTTTCGCTTATCTTATAAATTGTTCGAAATGTCTTCCATTTTGCTCTAAACAGTAATAAATTCTGTTTTGGAATTCCCCTCTAACATTACGGAAATCACCACTAGGAATTAACTGGCATGTTGCTGTAATTCGTCTTTTAAGTTCTTCAATATCAAAAGGTTTTGTTTTATGAACAACGGATTTGAAATGCCCACAAAGAAAGAAATCTAGGTGTGTTAAATCCGGTGATCTCGGAGGCCATTCAACTGCTACCCTTCTGCGCCAATCCATGTATCCAGAAATATCTCGTTTAACCACTGTCGGACGGGAAGATAATAATGAGGTGGAGCACCGTCCTGTTGGAAATGTAACATATTCCCCTGCAAGTTCATTATCTTCTGCATCCATTTGAGTTTCTAGCTCGTGAGTTATAAGAGGATCGCTAGTCTCTTCAAGCATTTCAAGTTACAGATGGACAGTCAAGTTTCTGTAGGGTTTTTCCTACAACTATTCAGTTTAGAAACATTTTATTTCTTTATTGATTTTTATTTTGGATTACAAATTTTTGTTAGAAAATTAACTTTCCATAACTGCATTATCGAACAGTCGTCCAAAATATCTATCTGCTTGGTTTTTCATGTTAAGTCTCTCATTTTTCGTATTTCCTCATCGCATATCATATTTTCTCTCGAAACGAAAGTTTATTGCCGAAAAACAGATGATTATTTAGAACGAAACCATTTGGGATGTTTCGGGTAGGTACTAATCGTTAACACTCTTATCGATTCAGACAAAGAATTCGGGCCCAAGTGGTTGACCCTTTTCACTATATTTATAACCCTGACCAGTGGTGATTTTTCAAGAGATACTGGAAAAACATTTTTTAGCCGATGTATTCATTCTGTTCTGAGGTTTCGGCTTCAGGTTTCTTATTCAGGTGTTTCCGTCGAGAACTAAACCAGTCCTGACATTTTCTTCCAGGAATAATGGACCAATAATGACAATATGTGGGTTTTTGTCACTCCAATAGCGACAATTTTGTCTATTATCATTGCCATTCAGAAAAAAATAAACATTCATCGCTGAAACAGATGTTTAACAGAAGATTAGGGACGGTGTTGACTCGATGAAATATGATGTCACAAAACTCTATTCTTCTGTCATAATCATCCTCGAGGAACTCTTGAAGAATCTGCGTTTTATGAGGATGAAATGCATGCATTTTCAATGCTTTTCTTACAGTCTCGCGTGATATTCCCGTCTGTTCTGATACTGATCGTAAGGAGCCAGAAATATTTTAAAGGAGAAGTAGCAAAAAGGATGGATATCTGTACATTTTCTGCGATGAGAGATGGAAATTCCGCATTTACTGAACAAAACATCTACAATTTGCTATAAGACTACTTTTTGATGTGAATCAATTGGAGCTAATGGCTAATGTTACCCCTAATGAAGGGTTGGAACGATAGCACCCAATATTCTTACCAGTACTAGTCAAACTACTACTTTTGTTAGTTTAGAATGCTTTTTTTTGGAAAATGCTCATTAAAAAATAATGAGTCAGGGTGCCATTGGAAGCAGAATTGAACGCCAATCAAAATAATGTGCCACTTGACCCCCTTCCCATTTAAAATTCTAAGGGTAACGTCTACCCTTCCTAGGGGATTGAACCACGAGAGCTATAAATAGTCCTTGAAAGTGTCCATCTTGACTATAAAATTGACCTGTTTTTCGATTCCTCATATTGTTTACTGAAAGGAGGATATTAAGGGCGAGAAGTTTTTAAATTGACACCCTGTATGTTTGCCAATCTAGTAGTTCTTGTTCTGTGAAAAACTATGGGTACAATAATGTAAATCGATTGGTTTCAGTCAATCGAAGAAATTGTGGTGCTTAAATATTATTGAAATAAAAAAAATGAGAGGTAATTTATTCAATCAGCCTTGATCATTTCCATTGAAAAATAGTCACAAACCGAAACAAGGTCATATTCCGAAGATGATAATTATATAAGTCCTAACCATCAAGAAGTTATAAGTTAATTATTGTAAGAATAAGTTAGTAACGTTTCGACGAAAAAAAAATGTCCAAATGTCCGTCACCGTAATGAAAGTTTTTTAGGGATTCCGAAAAGAAATATAGATTTTGATATCTGAAAAGAGTTACATTTCTTCCCATATACACAAATGTATACGATTTGAGCAACAATACAACGATAATAATGATGATTATCATTATAATAAAACAGATGCATAAGATATTTTGCCGTGGCAAAAGTATTGCGGTTTTAAGCCAGTGATTCATAAGAATGTGATACTTTTTTATTTTTTACATCTGTATGAAGTTTGTAATTGTAACATTCAGTTTTATTCAATATTATGACATACTTGACTGTAGAAAATTTTGGGAAAGCGTGTACTGCCAAATCATTTTTTGCACTATTCATTTGCTTCAGTTGATTTATAGATTATGTGTATAGTTAGTACTAGAGAAAGGTAAACATGTAGTATTAACTGAGTGATTTCAGTGAAGATTATTTCGTTGTGTTTGTTTTTGAATATATGATTGAAATATTTTCAAATCATATATTTTGGAGCCAGCTGAGTTCTGATAGAAATGTTTTATGATATATTCCTCAAACGATATTTTTTGTGGAAAACTCAATGTTTTATAATGTTTTCCTGGGTTTATAACCTTTCACAATCTGAAAGAATGAAAGATGAATTATATTATTGCGTAATATAAACTACTGGAAAGTCCAATTAGTCAGTAACGTGTATTCATAAATTTTGCCTGCAAATTGAAAAAAACAAAAAAAACAAATCAATTGAAAAAATTGAATACTGATACTTAGGTTTCTTGAGCAGATTCTCTATAGATTTATCTTTCATTTTTTCAGATTCTTCAATAAAAATCGTCTTCCATTAGCTTCCGATTAGGTATCATTTTATAGGGATGCATTTTATTTTCTTTTAATGTTTACTACCGATGTATGGTTAACATTGAATGTAGTGGATGCCTGTCTACTCGATGTGTGTGGGTTTTCCTCAAACTTAAGCATCACATCAAATTTTAGTTCATCACTCATTGCATTGGCAGCTGCTTTTTTTATCTGCCCCACATGACCAAGCTTGCGAAACTGCTTCTCTATTTTGCTTATTGTTCCTTGAGATATGCGCGGTAAATCAGGAAATTTCTCATGAAATAGGCGAGCTACTTCCTGTTGTGTTTGGATTTTATCTCCATAACCAATTATTTGTAAAACTTTCTTATTAGTCGTTTAAAGTCATTTCTTTAGATTTATTTGTAAAACTGTCAGTTTGTCAGACTTGAAGTTAACGAACTTTAAACTTAAATTAAAATACTGACATTTAATGTTGTAATAAACTAACATTGTCACGGAAATTATTTACAGTTTTTTAAAGGATACTATCTAAAAAGAAAATTGCTATGGTTTTAGATTACTTTCTTATCACCAATACCTCAACATGAAATAAGTTTTGAGTATATTGCAATAAGTTTTGAGGGTATTTTATCGAATTTCGGTGACCACATGATTTTATTTTAATTGTTGCAATAAACTTGAAAGCGATAACATTTTTGAATAGAGGATGAAGGGACCTTTCAAACGATATATCACAAGCCTACACTTCTCATTTAAAAAATTGAGGGTTTCACCTGTCATTCGACAAGGGTGGAATTTTTACGTTGAAGAATGTCAAATTATAATTTAAATTTGACGTTTTTCGGGATTTTGTTAAAATATGTAGTTACCGTGACCAAAATAATTAATTTATTTCATTTGGCTTTTTCACACCATACACTATAATAACCTAATTTGAATTGACAAATTGTACATGAAACGATAATATGGAACTGAATTTTCCTGAACCACCGTCCAAATTCAACTTTCTCATATGTTGACATGAAAATAATCCAAACAATATTAGGTCGCTGAAAGAACGATAGTTGGAAATTTCAGCAATCATTCAATGATACTTCTCAATATATTTGTTAGAAATAGCATTGATGATTTTGTCAGTAGGAGAAAAGTAAATCTGGTTTTTTTAAAATTAAATCTGTAAAAATATTGCTCCGTTGTCAGAATGTCAGAGTAGTTCTGTAAGCTAGAGGGAGGTAATTGAATAGTAAGTGCCTTATTACTGTTGGTAATATTAAAATAGTTGAAAATAGGTGGGTCGGGCTATTAGTTCGAAATTATTATACCCACAGCTGTGAAGGTTAGGGTACCTAAAAATAATAACATGAATGTTATTCATGAATAAAATGAAATGTTATTCAATAAATCCACCAGAAAGTGGTGAATTCAATGTTTATTTGTTTGATATCGAATAAAATCAACCACTTATGTATCTCATTGGAAAATATTTCATAACATTTGCTATGTTGTCTGTCTTCGAAATAATTTGAAACCACAAAGTAAACAATTGAATTTGCATTTGTTGGATTCCATCTTTCACCTAATCCTTCACATAACAGCGAGTAGAGAGTGGAATTATGAAATTTCATGGTTAGAGCATAAAAATTAGTTGGTTGGTCTCAGAATTTCTTTTCCTTTCATTTGATTGTACAATTTGATCGCCTTGAAAAATATGAATGTTTCCTATACAGTTCTCTCAATTTGAGAAATGTATACAGAAAGTTACTGCTCAATGTTATCAGGTTATCACTCTTACTTTTTGAAAACGTCAAGTTTTTTATCGTTGCTTGCTATTATTATAAAAAATATAACGTGAAAGCTATTTGTCTGTGGTTTATTGAAAGAATAAACTAATATTTTATTGCGTTCACACGTGGAAAAATAGACAGACATCATTTTGTAATTACTTGAGTAAATTTTTACTTAATTTCAAGTAAAAAAGTCAGGTACTAATGATACTGTCTTTATTTAACACCTCGACAAGTGTTTCAATCACCAAGTGATCATCTTCAAGTGAAAGATTGAAAATTAGGTCACAATTCACAATTGTTGTAGAACAACACCAGTTCAACTTTTCCTTAAAGTGGAGTAATGACACAAACTGAGTATTTTGTGGAGGGATTGGTTGAAAAGACATTTCTTGTTTTATTATAACCGATAACTACTTTCAAAGCTACATCAAAAATTTCATTTTGGATATTTCTCAACCAACCTTTTCTATAGATTAACCATTTCTTCCTTGGAAATAACTGGACTCGCATTTCCTCATTTGCCTCTCTATGTTGCAAAGTCCTTAATACTTATTAACACTAGTATTCATTGAACCGGTTTCTGAAGGTTATTTATATGTACTTCCCACTTCAATGACTTATAATTTTGATATTGATATGCGATATGTGATATCTTTATTCTATTCTCACGACTTCGGAGTACTGGTGTAGATTAAAATTGGTTTTGTTCTGAATTTTCAATTATAGTAATTTCAAAATGAATCTAACTTGTCCGATCTGCCATCTACATATTCAACTGAAATCTAGCTGAGCGGGAAATCTGTTGTGAGGTTTTTCTCATTCAACCTCAGAATCCCTTCATTTTAATTTCTCTCTGCCAGACTTTATGAAAAAGTTTTGGGTCACAGAAAAGGATATTTATTGACTTCCTGCTTGATGAGAACATCAGCTTCCTAATTGCTTCAGACTCCGGAAAGTCCCGGAATCTACGCGGTTGATTAGTTTTAGTCTGGGATACCACTGGGAAGTTTTCTAGTTCTGAGTATTGGACTTCGAAGAACTCGTTCCTCTCGGATGTTTGATGAAATACTAAATATTTGCATTGCAGTTGCTTTTTAAGAGTATTCCTGAACAGAAGCTCCTTTAGCACCTTTTTTCTTGGAGAGGGGCTATCAAGTTGTTTGGATACTTCAATATTGGCCCCGCAACTTTCACACAACCCATTTGTTCAATTCAGAACTCTCAATATCCCACCAGTTGTGACTTGTAAAGTGTGTATGATGATTCTTTATGACTACTTCAAACTTTACAAAAAAATTCGTGAGTTTTAACTTATTGCTATTGATTATCTTCATAAGCCAGAAAATTTGAAGCGACTTACATGTCTATATATCAGAAATGCATTACTTGCTACTTCCAACGGTTTATTTGCACAGCTGATTATCAGAAAAAACACCAATTACTATTTCCATGCAACACTCCACAATGCCTTGGTATTACTATTTACTACCAGGGTCTTCTTCAATGAATATTGAAACAGTTCAACATCAAAAAACTTCTGGTACTGTGAAGTACCTGTCATCCTATTTGAAAAATATGCCAATGAACTTGAAGTTATGTTGAAAATCTTCAACATGATTATAGATCGTTGCGAATCAACGTTTTGAGGTCTGCGAACAGCCAGTAGTCGCTGGGAACAAATCTGGCGAATACGGTGGATGTGGTAGCAATTCGAAGTTCAATTCATGTAGTTTTGCCATTGTTTCGATTGACTCGTGACACGTTGAGTTGTCTTGATGAAATACAATTTTTGTCTTTGCCATATGCGGTCGTTTCTTTGCAATTTCAGCCTTCAAACGCTCCAATAACGCTATATAATATTCACTGTTGATGGTATTTCCCTTCTCACGATAGTAGATGAATATTATATCTCGCACATACCAAAATACTGAGGTCATAACATTTCCAGTCACGACTAGCTGGAATTATATTTGTTTGATCGTCATACTCAGACGGTTTACACCGTTCTAAAGAGACCATGGCTTGTACTGATGATGTGGCAAGTACCCCGAAACCGGTATATCGGTTGGTCGTATCGACCAAATGAAATTGATTTCGACTTTTCATAGTGGAGAATAACTTGCGACGAATTTTCCATATCGAAGTCGCTGCAGAAGTGCCGGTGCCTGATGGTGTTACTTCAACTCTCTGCGCGGCATCAGCTGGATTAGTTGTTTTTTTTCCGTTGGGTATCTGCCCCACGTATAGTTTAATTAAACGATATAGTGCAAACTACCTTCCAACAGCTTCCTTTCAATAATATAGTTAGGAAGCTAACTAGTTTCGTTATTCAATAATCATTTATGATTATATAAGAATAACAATAACTATATTTCCACCATTGATATGGAAGTATCCAATTTCCATATAGTCTTTTTCAAGTAAATTTACTTTTTTAATCCTTTTTTGCCAGTCTTCTTCGGTAATATTAGATACTTCTTTTTTAATTAGTTTTTTTACCTGCTTATCAATTTTGTTTGCAGGCATGTTAGGCGCACACATTTTCGAACCATCAGTCCACCCTTTCGTAACTGTGTCGTGAGTGTCATATCAAGTTTCGTCCAAATAGAAAATTCGCCGTTGTTCTTGGCTATATTTAGTTATTCGTTCCAAGTATTCGTTACGGAATTCTACTATTCTTCTGCTTTCCATAACTGCTTGACGTTTGTTTATTATTTTAAATCCAAATCCTAGTTTCTTCATCCAATCCTGAAGAGTTTTGTCACAGCAGCCTACATTATGGCCGGAAGTATTCAATTTCCTCCTTATGATTTCTGTATCACATCGCGTTCTACGTTCATAAGGGTTCTTTTTGTTCTTTTTGACTATTTTACGTACAGCTGAGAAAGGAATTTCGGTCAAATCTGATGTTGCTTGTTATAGTTTGTTTCCTTAGAAACCAAATTTGAGATGTAGATTCTTATATACATTGAAACATAACACTTTTCAAGCTAATGCTTCGCTTAAACGGTATTTTTCCCATCAAGGCGCACTGTGTTGCCAAAAAAGATACCAGCAGAAAAATCACTCATTATGTTCATAGATAATTCGTGTGACTTCGAGTAACGATTGTTCACATTTTTAACAGTAGTTGTTCGATGTGTGATTGTATTTGTTATTATGAACATTTTTGTTATACAAGCATTGTGATATGTGTATACTATTTGTATACATTATCATATATTTATAATTTTTTGTTTTGACATGCTACAAATATTTGTTCAAATGTATCACGTAGCCAGTTAACAATAAACTATTCTATTCTATTCTATTCTATGAAAACTAAAAACCCTGTGATATGCGGGCTTTTACAACGAACCTCTACATCTTTCGTCCGCAACAATAATTCACCTTTAAACATAATTGTTAATTATCATTTTTCTAAGGAAAACATCATGACATACCAGAAATGACTGAAGGTGGACAACAATTTTGTTTCATATTAAAATACTGTATTCTTGGTACCGACATAACTCAACCTCGTAGAACAACATTTTGTGAAAGTACCTACTTTTGATTTTGAAGGTGGCATATACTTACTTGGCTGAAACTGGAAATAAATTAATAAAATTGTGATACCGTCTGTTTCGAATACCAGCTGACTCGTATATTCTTGAAAACCCATAATACTCGAATATATTCATGAGCCCTAAAGTAGAAAGTGAGAGAAAACTATTACATTCGGGGATGTTTCCATCTATTCTGAACACACATACATTCCCATAGTATAATAAACATATAAATTGATTAATTCGCTTAATGATTATTCCATTGTTCAAGGTTTTGCACAACAACAAGCTGAAGAAACTGCGCCAAAGAAAGAGGAGAGTTTCGAGGCTGAATTGTGTAAAGACAAAGATGCTGGGGAGTGGTTTCGACTGGTGACTGGTGAAGGTGACAATTGCCGTGACGTCATTCAATGCACATCTTCGGTAAGAGAATTTTGTAGGATGGTTCGAGTTGCATATTAGTTGTTATTATGAAAGGTATTCGATGCATATTATTTGTTGTTATAAAAGGTATTCAATGCATAAAATTGTTTTGAAAGAGGAAGAATACATTTTGAAAGGAGCAACACTTTTTTCAATACACGTCGGTCCAATAAATTATAGTGAATATATGGTTACTTTCAGTTAGCAACAGCATATATTGTTATTTCAAATAGAAGACTGATCGGTTTATTGCATATTTATTTTACACATTAACATACTTTTTTTGGTAGTTTCAAATTCCTCAATCATTATTGAAGTGGTAGAGGTTATACAGTATGGTCATTCAAGTGGGCAAAATATGGGAATTTTTTTAATAAACTGTACAACCAAAATACAGATATTTTCAAAAGTTGCTGCATATTTGATAAATACTAGCCAACATATAAGAAACAACAATTGCGACTAATATTATAATGGCTATACATGAGTGTTTAAGGCGTCCTGACTGCGACTTCAATATCAAAAATTTTCCATCACATAAAGATTTTGAGTTATAGTTATTTGTATTTTATACAAAAATTTTCGCATATTATAGGGAAATTAAAGATCAAAACAAGGTAAAAACAATATACTTTGAGGATAACAGACTTTATTTACAATACACATGAAAAATCATTCAAATGAAGTCTTCAGTGCATAAACTTTTTGCAAATGTTGAATTTCGTTTATGTTTCATCGTTTTCCCCCATAAGGAACCAACAATAATCCCCCATCATTGCTGCATCCCATCTGCCTTGGTAACGTCAGTATGTCTCGGTGGAACCTTTCCCCTTGTTCGTCACTGACAGCACCCAAATTTTCTGGGAAAAAATTCAAAGGAGAGTGCAAGAAATAGATTTTGAGAGACATGCGACATTCCATTCTGCAGTTTTTAAGTAGTTCTTCTACAAATGTTTCGTAATTTTCTACTTCATTGTTTCCTAAACACTCCGAAACAATTCTTTTCAAAGAACTCCACGCAGCTAATTCAATATTACTTAATTTTTGATCAAACTGTTGATCTCTTAGTAGTTTTCTGATTTGTGGTCCAACAAATATACCTTCCTTGAGCTTTGCATCACTTAATTTTAGAAAAACGTGTTCAAGATATTCAAACGCATCACCTTCTTTGTCTAATGCTTTTACAAAATTTTTCATTAACCCCAGTTTAATGTGTAATCTGTTTAAAATCTGTTTTTCCGTTAACCAGCTGTCGCACCCCTACGAACGACAACCTTCAGAAGTCGAAACTTGTGCGAGCCAAGGATTAACGAGGTCTTACCTTTTAACGTGTGATTCCTAACACGGGTTGTCGGGAGCAAGTGAAGATCGATCGTTCAGACTAGGGCTTGAACCACCGACCAACACGGCAGTCAATTCGAGTGAGTGAACAAAGCACCCACGCCGAACCGCTTGGCTACCGACTGACCGGAGATAACAGAACGTTTTTGGGATTAACAAGAGTTATATTCTTTACGTTAGCTTGATCTGGAATATATTTATTTCTCGGAGACCATTCTTTTACTTGATAATGGCTCTGTGTTGCCCTAATGTTCCATAGGCAAAGAAAACAACAACGCTTGGTAAATTCGCCCTGAAGACCTAGTAATAGTTCTATGACTTTTAGGTCACCACATATTTCCCACTTATACGTATTATAAGTGACTCACTTTTGTGTGTTTCCTCCATGGCAACTGCATGTGCGAAAGGAATAGAGGGTCTTTTGTTACCATTATGGAGCAGAACGCCTTTTAAATTTGTTTTAGACGCTGTGTTGCCAGATTTCAAACTATATCCTCAATTTAGGGAAAAAGCAAATTAGGAATGTCGTCTTCATTGAATTTTTGTGAAAATAACCATTACTCAAAAATCTTACGTCTTGGGAAATGTTTACTATCATATTTGCCTTTGGCATTACAGTCGTAAATTGGCTGTAAACTAGTGTTATTATACTAGGTACATTCAGAATGGTTGCAAGTCAACCAGCATATAGGGTAGGTCAAAAAATATAAAAATTGTAGGGAAAATTGGGGCAAAGCCGATAATTTTTAAAGAAAAAACTCGGATCACCCGGTTCTACCCTACCGGTAGGGCAAAACCGGGCACATGTATAACTGCTATGGGGAATTGGAAATGATTGAACTTTTCTGAAAAACAGCTTTTCTATTTTAGTAGCTGACTATTAAACGTTTTGTGACAGAAATAAAAATCAATCAAAACAATATTGAATCCTTTAACAAAGTTAAATGTGATACGGCAGATGTCACAAATAAAGGAATCGTCGGTCTCCTCTGCTCCACAGCAAGCGTCATGGTCCCACCCTTCGCATTTAGTGCATTGTATCCACCCTTCTCCACATTTGGTCCTGCCACCCGGATCTGCTCTACTCTCGATACCCGATATGACCCCGGACCGAACCATTATTGAAAACATGATGAAATGCTAGATGCAACAACTCTGTATCAAAATAACGCTAATTGGGTGCTGTAATGAACATTATAATTACCTAATTTTTCTTAAATTCACTGTTCGAGAAATTCTGCACTAAAAACTAAAAAACTTCGTAAGCTAAACTATTTCAATTTATGAAAATTCACGGTCGTTAAACAACTGTCAGTATCGAACTGGTGTAATGGGAAATCTGGCCTCATCAGTCGTAGTGGGTATACAGTGTCACCGATAAAGTCCGCATCAAATGGGAAACTTTTTTATTTATCGTTTTATGTGAAATTTGATTTTGGCAGTAGATTTTGCTTAAGACATGATGTCAAATGGCGTCTACAAAATAGGTCACGTGATTTCCTTAACCTGTCAAAATTGACATTTAAAAAAAGAAACATCGAAAAATGACATTATTCTTCAAAATATCCAAAAATATCAAAGGATAAAAACATTTTCTTTTGTAATTTTATACCCACACACCAAGTTTCAAATTCATAATAAGTATTTTATATTTTCACTATTTTTCCGCACTCCTGCTTTTTCTACTTATCAAAATTTAAGCACACCTGTACTAAATCATTTATTTTAACTAAACTCGTCACCGAATTTCTTTTTTTGTAATATAATAATATTTTAAGAGCCTCTTTGATGTTAAAAACAAATTTTGAAAA